TCATCACATTTTCACATAGTGAAGTTGACTTTAATAAGATCTGCGTTTTCTGAAGCTCAGAGGTTATTTCAGTGTTTAGTTTAGTTTTTTCTTCTTGGCGTTATCCCTGGTGCAGTTAGAGATCATTTCTGGCACGTTCTGAAGCAGATTATATCTGAACATCCCATCAGAATGAAAATTAGCTGCTGTCGACACCTCTCTTATGGTTAAAAGAGGTGTGGGCTTTATCTGTGCTGCCGCTCTGGATTCACTGCGGTGATTAATGTGCCTCATGAGCTGTTGGATATTTAAATCAGAGTGTGCCTCACTTTACGTGAACGTGCCGTGATTCAGTCTTAAAAAGACCAAAGAAAGCCTGTCAGGGCTACAGGTTCTACGTTTCAGGACTTAATAAAAAGAATCAAGTCTTTACCAGCTTCTACCATGTCATTATTTATTAAACATAAAAGATGCCAAATGAATAGCTACAGCATAAACAGCATATAATAATAAAACGTTCACTGTTGCTGTTTCCACGGGTTTTAAAAGAAAAAGTAGCAGCCAGGTGCTGCTGATCAAATGTATTGATCATCAGTGTGACCTCCTCTATAAAAGCAGTTACAAGCAGAAAAAAAACCCTCTTCCATGTGTAGTGTTGATATAGGTCCATTTCAGTTCAGTTCAATTCAGTTTACTTCTATATCTCCAAGTCACAACAGAAGTTGTCTCAGGGCACTGAACAGAAACATTCATATAAATAAAAAGACAGTTGATAAATTTCTCTATCTAGGAAGCAGCAGACTCGTTGAGTCTTCACTTTGTCTCAGTCTCCCATCCTGAGCAAGCACAAAGGAGACAGTGGAAAGGAAAAACTCCATTTTAACAGGAAGTAACCTCCAGCAGAACCAGGCTCAGGACGAGCGGTCATCTGCTCCGACTAGCTGGGCTTGAGAGGACTGGAAGCAGAAACAAACAAACACAGAATGACAGGTCCAGATGTTCTTTCTATAGGATGAAGGACAAAAAAACATGTTAAGATAGAAATAATTACAAATACAAACCGGTTGAGTAGAGCAAGTAAAGACAGCAGCAGAGTGAGGAAATGAGATCAGTTTGTCCTCCAGCAGTCTAAGCCTATAGCAGCAGAACTAAGCTATAGGTCAGGAAACCCAAGCCGGCCCTAACTATAGGATTTATCAAAAAGGAAAGTCTTAATCCCAGTCTTAAACCTGGACAATGTGTCAGTCTCACAGACAGAAACTGGAAGTTGGTTCCACAAGAGAGGAGCCTGATAACTGAAAGATCTTCCTCCATTCTGCTTTTGGAAACTCTAGGAACTGCAAGTAAACCTGCAGTCTGAAGTGAAGTGCTCTGTTAGGAAAATATGGAACAATAAGGTTCAAGGTTCTTTAATGTCATTCACATCACATGTGGTACATGAGGTGGAACAACTTTGTGTAGTCAAGCTTCAAGTTACACCCAAAAATGTAAAAAATATAAAGTATAGAAAGAAAAAGTATATAAAAATCTAAGATATACACTAAACCAATGCTAAAAGATCTCAGATATATGCTAAACAGTAATAATGTAAAATTATTATTAACCTTTATTTAACCAGTCAAATCCCATGAGATCACAGATCTCTTTTGCCAGTGAGGCCTGGGCCTGAAGGCAGACTAACATGCATGATTTTGGTCTGTGGGAGGAAACCGGAGAAAACCCACGCAAGCACGAGAACATGCAAACTACACCCAGAAAGACCCCAGGGCCAACCGGGGATTGAACCTAGAACCTTCTTGCTGTGAGGCAACAGTGCTAACCACTGAGCCGTTGTGCTGCCTACAGTTTATATTGAACAGCAGCAATAAGATCTGTAATATAAGATGGAGCTAGGTTGTTGAGAGCTTTGTAGGTTAGAAGTAAGATTTTGAATTCTATTCTGGATTTGACAGGGAGCCAGTGGAGAGAAGCTAAAACTGGAGAGATATGATCTCACCTGTCTGTCAAAACATTTTCCACCAAATTCTATTTTCTGTCAACTTCAATGAAGGACTCGGTCTTCCTGTTTGAAATAAAATCTTGTTCTCTTTGAAAGATCGACTTAAACAAGCTAGGCACATCGTTCACGCCTGCCATAACGGCTTTGTTTGCAAGTAACAGTTACAGGTCTCTCTTGTAAATGAGTCCTCGAGGCTCAGTGGGATTAACCTGTAGAAATAAAGGTTGAAGGAATGAATGAAAATAGTTACAGGAACACTCAGCAAACCACTTTTTGGTCCCACCAACTCTCCATCAACTGTGATTGTGGGGCGGCTGTGGCTGAGTGGTTAGAGCAGTCGTCCTCCAATGCGAGAGTTGGGGGTTCGAATCCACCAGCAGTCACATGTCGAAGTGTCCCTGGGCAAGACACTGAACCCCTCATAGTCTCTGATGTGTGTCCCATCAGTGTCTGAATGTGATGAAGCTCTGATTAGTCTCATTAGAATTATTTGTTCAATTATCTTTGTAGAGATCTAGTATAGAGCTGTATGAATGGGTACATGAGGCACAGATTGTTGTAAAGAGCTTTGAGTATCTTGAAATAAAGATAGAAAGGTGCTATTTAAGTACAGTCCATTTACCATTTACCATTGTTTAATAACGGTCAGACAAATAAACCAAACTCATCATGGAGCGCCTCTGACGGTGTTCCATCTTCTCTTCAGACAGTGACGTCCTAACTAATGAGAAAACTCCTTCAAACTTCTTTCTGCCTGGCGACACAAATTTAAAGAATCTTGTAGGACAACTTTTTATTTCTTTCTTTCGGCTGCTCTCTTCTTCACCACAACAAACTAACTCGCACAAAGACTTGACAGTTCTTTTTTACACCAGATGTTCTTCCTGAATCAACCACAGACCACTGAGCATCCACAGCCCTCTGTGTGGAGCAGAGAGCATCTAGAGAGAGAGCAGAGAGAGTCTAGGGCATCTAGGGGAGCAGGTGGTGGGGGTAAAGGGCCTTGCTCAAGGGCCCAGAGTGGGGCAAATGAGGGTGGAGGCAGGTGTGGGTGCTTCACCTATCCCACCCACATTTTGATGTTGTCGGTCCAGGGAGTTGAACCAGCGACCTTCCGATCACAGACTTACCTTCTCTAACCTCTGCACCACCACTCCCCCTTATTGGACAACTCCATTTTCATTAATTCAATTTTTTCTTGCCAAGCTGGAAAGTACTTTACAGAAAATAAGAGATATTAGCAAAAACGATAAAAACTACATTGAACATTTGTATTTTATGTCTAAAATGTATTTTTAAATATTGTCATGTTTTATATGTATGTACCACCGAATGGCAGTAGTTGGAGTGCGGACAGAGGTGGAGGAGGATGACTTGCTGTGGAGACCCCCTGAAGAGGAGTCAAATGAAGAAGAAGAAGAATGTTTTATATGTGCTGAATTCTTGTGCCTTCTCTGAAGGCCCAGAGGGGTCCCCCCCCCCCCCCCCCCGCTGCATACAAATCATCCCAGTTGCCTGGTGCTCTCTGCTAAACCTAAAGACATAAAAAGTCAGGAGGGAAAAATCTCTGCCTGTCATCAGACGATGGTGTCCGTGTGTCACTCTGCTCACAAAAACAGCTTCATCTTTGACAACAAGACGGCTGAACTCCTGTGGGATCTTCAGAGAAGAAGCAGTGGCCGAACGTTCTGCTCTGTCAGGTTGCTGCTGCCGTTTCAGAGTTCACACCGACCCCAGGTCTGAACCGCTAAGCCTTTTATGTTCCAGCTGCAGACTGCACAGGCCCAACAGAACCTCAGAGCTCTCTCCTGTCAGGAGAGCTGGTATCGGAGGAAGGAACTGAAAGCATGCTGCACAGAAGGATCAAACCCCCTCCTGCGAAGGTAGGACACTGAACCACTTCCAGCACCTGCACCACTCCTGCAGCTCTCTGGTCAGCAGACACAAGGCGCTCCTGCAGCTCTCTGGTCAGCAGACACAAGGCGCTCTACAACTTTCAACTGAACTGCATGTGGAGAGGAGCCTGTTTGTCATTGCTCTTGATATTATGCAGCAGTCCGTTTGTCTTTCTACCAGGAGTCTCCAGCTGGATGCTGCCAGTCGTCTGCAGCAGCAGGGAACCAGCATGTATTTAGTAAAACATGGAAATAAAATTAGACTCTTTTAATAAAACTGATATCTTTAAAATATTAGACATAAAAATGATGTCTTTACCCAATTCTTCCTGTTCGGGTCACTGGTGTCCCCAACTGAACTCAAACATCCATCTCTCCCTAACCTGCTGCTTCTTTTGCTGGTCACCGGTGTCCATGTCCAGCAGTCCTGTGCAAGAGGCGGGGTACACCCTGGACAGGTCTCCGGTCCATCACAGGGCCACATAGAGACAAATGAGACAAACAACCATTCAGTCTCTCTCTCTCACCTAGAGACAATTTAGAGTTCCCATCAGTCTAACATGCATGTTTTTGGTCTGTGGGAGGAAACTGGAGTACCTGGAGAAAGCCCACGCATGCACGGAGAGAACATGCAAACTCCACCCAGAAAGTGATTTGAACCGGCAGCCTTCTCACTGAGAGGCAACGGCTCTGCCATCTGAGCCACCGTGTCACCCTAAAACTGATATTTAGTATATTAAAAAAAGGTTCAGCTTATGGTTTATTCAGAGTTCACTGCCCGTCATCTGATCCCTCTCCTGCAAAGGAATTGGGTTCTCCAGCAGGACATTTGAGACGACGAGGCAGCCGTCCTTCATTACAGGAACAAAAAAAACATGGCTTGTCTCTGTCAGCGCCTTCTCACCCTCTGTCTCTGTGGATCCGCAAACGAACCGGATCAGTCAGCTCACATGCTGAATGTTTGCAGAACTGCCGTCTCAGAATGTCTGATGGGCAAGAACGTTTGTCTGCAGACTCCATGTTTGGTCCACGAGAACATCTGCAGTCGACCACACGACGTAGAATTCATGTGTGATGTCTGTTCCCTTCTGTGTGTGTGTGTGTGTGTGTGTGTGTGATGAGCTCAGGTGTGCAGTCTGAAATTGGAGCAGGAGGTAGAAAAGAATAAGATCCTGTCCGAGGCGCTGCAGACTCTGGCCACAGAGCACCACAAACTTGAGCAGTCCTTCGTGCAGGGGTCGTCTCCGCGGAGCGCGCTCAGTGAGGATGAGTTCTACGACGCCGTGTCTGGTGAGTCCACAAGCTGTCAAGCACTCGTGCAACCTGGAGATTCTGTGACGAGCTCCACTTCACGCACTCTTGCTCGCCGGCAGGACGCCGGGACACTTTTTCAAAGGCGTTTTTGGTACGAATGCCCCGACGTGAGCGACTCGGGGGGGGTTGACCTGTGTGTATTAAAGAAACACGAGTTCAGTGCCTGGTGCTTCCAAAATGGAAAGTGTTGACTGTTTTGGAGTTTGTGATGTTTGTGAGTTTTGTGGATGAACACTGGTGTAAAGCTGCATGGCAGAGTTCCATAAAATGATTGTTGAGCACGTTTCTAAACGATGCGGAGGACAACAACTAATCGATTTCTGTTGATAACTGTAGGTTTTAAATGATGAGGCCTGTTCTAATGACCACACTGCCCGATTCTGTCTGGAGTTACAGCAATCATTTTCTAAAGCTCTTAAAATCTTCAAATGGGTGAAACCAACCGAAGTTTAACATGTTAGTCAATATTTCCTGAGGGTTGATTAATGTTTGCAACGCTGTTTCTCTTCAGGCTGATTACACTAACTGTTTTATGGCAAGATGCCTAATCTTTGAATTTAAACCCAAATTAATTTTCCCTAGATTCCTCTGAGGCATAATTGTCATAGCTTTCAGTGCAAATAACTTAATTAAAGCATTAAAGCAGGTTCAGTTTTTGTTCATGCCAAACAATTGAAAACTGTTTGTAATATTTGCATGAAAAATATGGAGTTCAAAAAACACATTAGCTTAAAATGAGCCTGAAAAGATACTTTTCTGCCAATATGTGTCTGGTATTTCTAGACATAATCAAATTTGGAACTTTTTTGGACTAAACAGGTGCGTTTTTTAATGAACACCTAATGTTGCAGGAAAATGATAAGTTGTGTAATCAAACTCACAACGTCACAGCCTCCAAACAACAGTTAACCAGTTTTCATCTTTGTGGTATTTCTTGTTCACATGAAAGGACGTGCACGTCTGACACCCCTTTGCAAAAGTTTTAAACAAATATGGTGCACAGTCTGTTTGCAGTTGAAGTTTAGATTGTGTGGGTTACTACCACATGTCCAAATGAGTTTTCTAAGGTCTAATAGCTGCAGCAGCCATCTTGAACTGGGTTGACTTCAACAGCTAATTAGTTGTAAATGATCCAGTGATTCAAGAGTTTCAATAAAAGTGGTCCAGTAGTTCATGGGGGTTTATTCCACAGGTATCATGTGATTAGTGTGTGCTTAGAGAGCGTGTTAGGGATGACTCCTGACTACCACCACACCAGATTTGAACTCCGTCTCTGTAAAACTGACTGTTCCAGCTATTCTAGTGTTTAGTAATCCAGCTGTGGCAGCCATCTTCTGTCAGTTGTACATCTCATGGTTACGTTCTGAGCGCTTCGTTTAAACTCAGCGGCTCGTGGGAGACAGTTACATGATCGCCCAGCTTTCATGGCGGAGGGTCATAAGAAACTAAATGTTGACTGGTATGATCCCAGAGACTGTTATTGACAGTACTTTTTTATGGACCAGAAATAGTTTAAAGATAAAATAAAAAATTAAAGAGGACCAAAAATTACAAATATAAATGGTAACACTTTACAATAAGGTTCACAAAATTTGCTCAACTACAAGGGAACGCCTCAGGAACGAAGCAGGAACAAATCAGGAGCTAATGGGGAGTTAACCAGTACTTACTGGGGAACACACAGCCAAGCCTTATTAGGGGAGTACTGGTTTGTTACCACAGAAACAGAGGAGAAATTCCCCATGTGGGTTCTGAATGCACCAGTGAGGTCACAGCTTGTCAAAAACCTGTTTCCTAGTGATTACTGGTTTTATTGGATTTTCTCTTTTGTAAACCTATTGATGAAAGACATTACCAATTTCATAATGTTGTACTGGTCTGACTATCACTTACTGATACCAAATCATTGTCTGGCTGTTACTTTGTTCACTGACGTAGTGAAGCATCATACCAAGTACTTCCTGAGGAACCAATCATTACTTAAACACTACCTAACCATTACCTACTGCTTTCTTCCTATGTTAACAAACCAGTAGTCCCCTAATAAGACTTGGCTGTGTGTTCCCCAGTAAGTACTGGTTAACTACCCATTAGCTCCTGATTTGTTCCTGATTTGTTCCCTAGTAGTTGGTTAAATTTTGTGTACCTTATTGTAAAGTGTTACCATACAAATGAATAAAAAGTGTGAGCTTCCTCTATGAGACGAGCCATTTAATATTCAGAGTATTTCAAAGAGCTTGCTCATCATTTTTGAACTACTTTATTGACAGGGACTTGTCAGTCAGGCTTAAAAAATCTTATTTAATTAGAGGAGTTTCCGTTTGTGCTCTTCAGCAGCTCTCGTGTAATCAGGCTTTTAAAGCGCCCTGCGCACGCACTTCATTATCTCCACGTGTTGGTCTCTGTCAGAATCAGGCTCTGAGCTCTCCCTGAGCGGCTTCGAGACGGTGGACAGTCATTCCTGTGAAGAAGAGGAGGAGGACGAAGGCTCTGTCATGCTAAGCAGCCCTTCCAGCAGCCCCGCCAGCAGCATGCTGCAGGAGGATCACCATGGAAACGGAGACGAGACTCGACCCAACGGGAGTGCAAAGCATAGGTCAGCAGTGCAATCTGGCCCCACAGTTTTGTAACCCCCCCCCCCTCCACACACACACACACACACACACACACACACACACACACATACACACAGGTTTGTTTTGCTATCTTTGTGGGGCCTTTGCATTGACTTCCATTCATTTTTCATTCATTTCTATAGCTTAACCATGACCTTTACACACACACACATACACACACACACACACACACCAAAATGGCTCTTTGCTTTGAAGATGAACAAACTTTTCAAACGCACCTGAGTTTGGCTGATATTTCAGCTGCTCTGAGAGTTTTGGTTGGTTCAGGGCTGTCCTCCCTCGGCTCTTTCCACTTCAGGGTGTGAATAATTTAGAACGAGGCCCCGCCTGCTGAAGACGTGGGGAACGGTTGTATTGAACAGATGGTTAAATATTGATGAGGTCACTGTGTAATGCAACAGTCAGTTAGCAGTGTGAGCCCATGTTGGCTCATCCCTCAGTAGCCTTAGAGTCCATCTTAGCTCGCGTGATTCAGGTGTTTTATAAATTACTTCTGGTAACCTCTCAGTTTACAAATACTTTAAAATACTCCAGTTCAGGGGTGCCCAGTATGTTGATTGCGATCTACTGGACGATCTGACAGACGGGGCCGTCAGCGTGAGGCCCCGTTTACACAACGTGAAACGTTTGGCCGTTCATTTACAGACAACAGCCTCATTCTCTCTGAAACCGAAGGTTTCTGAATCCAGGTCTGAGTCGAGATTTCAAGGGAACCCCCACGGAGGAGTGAAATACTCCAAGTGTGAAGTTGCACATGCTCACTACAGGCGGCGGCAGTCCAACGTTTTTCTGCTCTAACAACAGTTATAATAAATGGAGAGAGCAGAGTGTTTTTGTGCTGCTCATCCTTTTTCAGCTTGTAGGAACAAAACTAATAAAATCCAGGCTCCAAAGAGACGTTAGTGTGTTCACCAGTTTGGGCTAGCTGTGATCATGCAGACGCTGCATGTGCAATGAATGCAGCTTAGCTCTGTGTCAGGGTTGCCAGATAAAATTTAAATGTCTTATTTACCCCCTCCTTTTCTGTGCACATGTTCAACAAACACAATACAGAATCAGAAGAATAAGCTTTATTATCATCGCACCGAGATACAACGAGAACATGCACATGCAGTCGTCCGAAAGATGAGCGGAGTGCACGTAGCTGCTGCTGTAAAGCGCGGCCTTCTTATTCTTTTCAGAATACAGTTTTTAGATAGAAAAAAGGGACGAAGCCTTGAGGAGAGGATAGTGGCATTACAACAAAGATCTCTTCACACCTTGTCCGAACAGGACACGATTTAAGACATCAAAAAAACTCTGCCAGCAGCACATTGATGACCACGTTACATATGCATTAACGACGAGGCGGTCCACGAAGCACTAAACAGACAGTCCTAATAAGATGAGGTGGCCGGCACAGTTCTTAGAAACCTCCACAGAAGTGGGGGAGGGGGTGGGTGCGATAGACAAAGCTTTTCTTTAGTTTACACATTTCCCAGGAGAAATTGATAAGTCAGCCTGTTTCGAGGCCGACCGGGGAGTCAGATTCAGATAATCCACAATTGTTGATTTATTCAGGCAGACCATTTTTCCATCAGCCTTGAGTCTGTACTGATACTTCCAAGGTCCAAAATGGCCAGATTAGGCTGCATTCTACTGGTCCATGTTTACGAGCCTCTTCAAGTTCGTTTTCATGCTGATGAGTCCCACAGCCGCAGGTGGCCTGAGATTCAAATCACTTCCATCTTACGGTTTAGCTCGTAAATCAGCAGATTTTGTGTCTTCAAAGCACAAACCATATCTTCACATAGGAAGCAGCCTGGCGAGGGCCAAATTAGCAGCGGCCGTCTTCTTTGTATGTTGATAAACCAGGATCCAGACTATTCCAAAAACAGGAAACCTGTTATCATGAATCCAATTATATGCAATTTTGGCATCCTCAATTGACAGCAGAGGTAGACACGTCACATTCCACTTCCCAGAGATATATCCAACTGCATGCGTGTCGTCGGAGCAGATGAGGGTTCTCCAGGACCCTGTCGCTTTGTTGAAAAGATTTTGTCAATTGCGTCGAAAGTCCAGTTGGTCAGATCCAAAACAGTAGTTTTCATTTCGGAAGATGTGTAAAAATAGGAGCTGCTCCGATACACAGACAGAGAGCAAAAAAAACAGGAGGAGAACAGGGAGAGGGAAGAAATGTGTACGCCTCATTACAGAGCCATTGAAGAAAAAATACATAAGTACTTTACTCAGCACATGTGACAGTTTAGGTCAAAATACTATAATTTTAAAGCCACAGTACTATAGTTCATAATTTCTTATCTGGCAACCCGACTGACATGGAAACTACAGAGCCTTATAATAGGTTGACTTGGTTGTTTTAAAAGTAGCTGCGTGCTGAAAAGTGTGGGCACCCCTGCTCTAATGAGACCGTGAATGCTGAATTGGTATTTCTTTTTTTTTTTAATGTTTTCTGCAATTCATCTATCAAAATATTCAGCTCATTCAATAGATGGATGCTTTGACCTTTTTTTTTTGTAACTTTTACACTTTTCAAAGTAAGTCAACTTTATTTACAAAGCTAAACATCCAGAGATTTATTTAGCTCCTTCTAAAACATTGTTCTCTTTAAAAACTGCTTCAGCATAGTTGTTATTTTTTGTCTTCTTATGCTACTGTTAAGCTTTATAAGTGTAAGTGCACCGCTATATGGTAAATGGTAAATGGACTGTACTTATGTAGCACCTTTCTATCTTATCAAGACACTCAAAGCACTTTACAATCTGTGCCTCATTTACTCGTTCATACAGCTCTATTCTAGATCTATACAAAGCTAAGAACAAATCATTCTAAAGAGACTAATCAGTGCATTTTAGATCACATTCATACACTGATGGGACACACATCAGAGGCTATGAGGGGTTCAATGGCTTGCCCAGGGACACTTCGACATGTGACTGCTGGTGGATTTGAACCCCCAACTCTCGCATTGGAGGACGACTGCTCTAACCACTCGGCCACAGCCGCCCATATATGTTGTCTTCATCGTATGTTCCCATCCAGTGATGAAATTTGTTCTCTGCATTTAACCCATCGCACCTGAGATACACCCAGGTGGAGCAGTGGGCAGCTATGTGAGCACCTGGGGAGCAATTAGGGATTCAGTGTCTTGCTCAGACACCACGACATGTGGGCATGGCTGGGTGTCAAACCGAGACTTTCTGGTCCCAGGTCGGCTGCCCTACCTCTACCCCTCTCGGCCCCAAGAAGCTTTAGTTTTTGTTCTGGTACTTCGAGCTTTAAGCTAGCCTTAAGCTACATGTAGTTTTTACCCAGTATTTTTCTACCTTTAGGTTATGTTTAGCTGTTTTTAGCTTTTACCCAGCAAATACTTCAGCAAACTTCAGCAGAGTCATTCAGCAGGAAGCTTTCACAGTATTTTAGCAGAAAATACCATTTTTCTTTTGTGTCCGTATCTGCAGCTGTTATGTGTCTGATCCTTCGGCTGTAATGCACTGTCAGTCTTTAGAGCACCAGCACAAAGTGACTCCATTATGCTCACCTTGCAGAAGACGTATAATTATGTGTTATTTCAGGACAAGCTTACCTGCTCCGATGTTTTCAAGAAACGACTTCAGCATTTGGAGCATCTTGAGAAACTGCATTGGAATGGTGAGAACAATGTTTGTTTGTTTGTTTGTTTGTTTGTTTGTTTGTTTGTTTTATTGCTGTGTTTCATTACTCAGTATTTCTGTCATGACACTTGGAGATGATCCATAACAGAAATGTGTGGATCATTCTGACATTTTCACTTTAAACCAGTTACCAGCAAGTGTCTCGTCTCTGAGGCCTAAGTATTCTTTTTGTTTCAACATAGTGTGGAAATCATTTCTGGGTACCATGGGTGAAACAAGCTTTTAGTGCTCTTTTAGTGGCTGAGTGGTTAGAGCAGTCGTCCTCCGATGCAAGAGTTGGGGGGTTTGAATCCACCAGCAGTCGCATGCTGAAGTGTCCATGGGCAAGACACTGAACCCCTCACAGCCTCTGATGTGTGTCCATCTTTTTATGAATGTGATAAAGCTCTGATTAGTCTCTTTAGAATGATTTGTTCAACTAGCTTTGTAGAGATCTAGTATAGAGCTGTATGAATGGGTAAATGAGGCACAGATTGTTGTAAAGAGCTTTGAGGATCTCAATAAGATAAAAAGGCGCTGTATAAGTACAGTCCATTTACCATAAATAGCTAAACTTATAAAGATAAAAACAGAAGGTTCATTCACATTTCTTATTTTATTTTATTTTTTTAATTTTTGCTTTTGACTTATTAGCACAAGAAAAGTAAACCTGGTAATAACCAGATAATTGTTTATTTGTAAAAGTCTCCCATCCCTCCCGTCCTATTCATACTTTTCGGGGGGTTCCACAAGTTGGCAACCTTGTTAAATCTGAGCAGATATCAGCAAAAAGACTTAATGTTCTCCTCAGGAGTAGTTCAGGAACAATGTTCATAAGGATGCAAAAATCCTCCCAGTGGTTCAGTAAAAGTGGTTCAGTTGAACACATTCTTCAGACAGAAGAAAAACAACACCCCATGTTCTTTATTTCAGTGTTGCGTTCACAGCACTGCTGGGGTAAATTATGAATATGTATAAGAAACCTGCTGTGCTGCAACATGTTACTTTGTTTTGGTGAGTTATGTGTTGCTATGGAGGAGAACACTCCATGTACATCCTGACAGAGCGGCTGGCCTGACACGTGGCAGCAGCAGACTCTAATTTATGAACATTTCCACTGAATATAAATCATGGAATACTCAGAGATTAGGCCTGTACTTTTACTGATGTTTCAGACTAGCCTCAGAAAATAAACATATATAAATATATGTGTGTGTGTATATATACATATATATATATATATATATATATATATATATATATATATA